TGATCAAATAAGTGATCCTACAGTGGAAGGAGTTTCTCATACAAAGATCTCTCTGATTGTCAAATTACCAAATAAAGAAACYACAATTATGTCCGTACCTGGATTGTAAGTAACAGAAATTTAGTAAGGTGTACGTTGTTATTGTAATGTTGACAATACACGAGCTTCTGGTAAAGAATACAAATCTGGATTATTTAATTTAATGTTGCTATGGATTTCCTCTTTCAGAATTTCTATTGGCGAGCTGTTGGACTTAATTTGCAAGAAAGAAAATTTGACTCGTGATGATCATGTTTTGACACTGYCAAAAGTTGGTGGCAAGGAACTGAAATATGGGTCTGACACAGTGCTCGGTTCTTTGAAAATAAGAGAAGTCTTTATCASTCACGTTGATGGATCATCTAWCAATTCTGCAGTGGAGGGAARTGTTTCGTCYAAAGATCCGCAAGTGCGTATYTRTAGGAAAAGTTTAATTCATAATCTATTCRGACATATAAAATCATAAAGCACTCRCAAATCCAAGGGATATGTATAGACCACTTAGTAGTCAGGTAGAATGATCCACAGGCCTGCATTCTCTAGTAATGTTGTGAATTATCTRATGCATGTATTCTATTTCAGACGTCAGGTGTCAGAACGGCACAAGCTCCTCCTCGTCCTCATAAYAACCACGTTTTGCCAGAATCAGACAAAAAGCTAGAGAAATCACTTGCAAAATCTGATGAGCATCTTGACCAACAGAAGAAAGAGACTGCTAAAGTGAAACGAAGAGCACCACGCCCACCTCAGCAGCCGCCAGAGCGACCCAAGAGTATGCCGATACCTCGTCCAAGAACAGTTGCGTCTGGTAATGAGGGAACTCCTCAAGCCAAGAAAAGACAGGTATAATTAAAGAAAGTGTTTGGATTCTTTTATTTCTTGAATACTATAGTAGGGGATCTCATTAGCTATTACTCAGTGCATGACTGTCGACATCTGTTTTCAAGGCTCCAGCGCGACCACCAGCTCCAAAAGTATCTCCGCGAGGATTGGACCAAAACAAATTGAAAACTGATGATAAGGAGGAACGGCTCCCKCCAGAATTTTGTCCTCCTCCACCCCCAGATGATGTTCCTCCACCTTTGGATGAATGTGAACTTCCAGTTAGCCCTCTTAGTGCGGACGATGAAACAGCTTGGATGACTAGTACGTATTTTGATCTACACGTTTACAGTCAGAAGACATGAAGCGCACCCCCTGAATAGTTCGTTATTCAATGCATTATTGAATTGTTTCATTTTATTTTTCGTTTTCAAACTTCAGTTGATTAATGCAAAATTAGATTCAAATCTCAAACTCTGATAATGACAGAAAACAACACAGCATTTCCAGCTTTTTGAGACCGTCATTACTTTC